GTGTCTAAGAGCAATATACAACCAAGTGTATCGGTTGTTCCAGCCAACAACTCCATCCAAAGAGAAAAAGAAAATGTGCCACTCAGGGATAAGGTGAGTTTTTCACCCTTTCCAGGGTGATCCTTCAAACATGTCAAAGGTGATACTGCAATGACATCAACGACATTCAAGAGGCTTTAGAAATAAACAAATGTAAGGGTTCAGAAGAGTAGAAGGAGAATCACTAATCTGATATGCTAATGGCACATAAAATTCAAAGTGCAACAGTGGCCATAACAAATACAACACAACGCAAAATAGGACCTTGGATGCAGGAATACAACAGAGATACATAAGACTTGCCTAAACTACTTTCCCTATCTGTGTTACACTTTAACCATATGCCATAACAATGAGGACTCTCTATTAGTTAATACAAGCCCATAATTACAAAAGCATTGATGAGTATACATAACAAAATCTGAAGGAAAAAGCAGGAAACTGTAACAGGAAATGTAGCTAGTTGAAAAATGAGAGAAACACCACAAATAGAACTTACAGTAAATTGAAGTTGTTAAACAAAGTGATTATGATGTTACTGAAGTACAAAGAGAAACAAGTTCAGAGCTACATAATCTTAACATCTTCTACCATCGTCTCAGTTTTCTTAATGAAACAATTTAGATTCTTCGATAAATGAATTACCTTTCAACTTCCAACAATCTGTAGTTATGCAGTAGTAGGCTTAACATCGTAATAGAACCAATTAGGAAAGAAATCAAATGCAAAATTGTTGAGGCTATTCTCCTGACTTTCGTTGGTAGTTAGCCCACTCTGCCATATCATGTAATAGTTGAAAACAAGGAATGGTTGAAAACACTGCAGGCTGCGGTATAACTCTTCACAAAAAGGCTCCCACTAAGGACCTGCTTCTATCTACCGAAAGTTTAGCAGGATGAGACAAATTTAGTCAAGGAGATAACAAAATAAAGACAAAGATAATAGGCACACGTACAAAAGCATCAATTCTTGCTGTGATTTATTATGAAATAAGCTACAAAATATATAATTGCAAAACACAACAAATTAACTTACTGATCTGAAAGCTAAGTTCACAACAACATCTCCTATATTGACTGCACAGTAGTAAGTTTGACTTGACTGTCCAACAATGAAAGCAGCTGAATCCAAACACCAGAATAACTTCACAGAGTTTCTATTATTCAATGGAAAAAGAACAAGCAGCATAACTAAAAATGAACCACAGAAACAATTCTTTTAAATGCTTAGACTATTGTTCTATTATTCTATAGACTTTGTTTATCTTCGCAGCTGATCTCAGAAATAAGAAATGATTCATGAAGATTTCATGAAGATAATACTAAAATAATGACAAAATGTAAAGACATTTACATTTTAAGATGCCTCTCTTTGTTCAACAGAGGTTTAGGATGCCTGAAGGATATACCATTGTCATTTGTAAGCAAAAATATCTAGTAGAGTAGTTAAGCAAAAATCATCAATTTTTTAAACACTTCTAGGTTAACATGTCAAGAAAATTAAAAAAAAAAAATCACTTTTCACTTTTACCTGTGTATTAAAATCTGGTGTCAGATCTTGAAGTCAGGTCGGTTCAGGTCAGCCAACGAAGAATAAACCAACAGATAAACATTGGATGTACTGACTGTAAGAATAAATATAGTTCCTATGCTTAAACTATTTTGGAAATCATGTACCCAACAATTACTCAAAACCTCTTTTAGACCATTTGAAGAACTTCTATAGAATCCATTTGCAAGTGGCAGGGTAATTATATAAGGAATCACCTGGAGTTCTGCTAATGGAGGAGTCATTATGCCAATGATTGCAGCATCAACACACAACCCATGCATTTTAACATCCATAACTGATATGGCAATCTCCAATAAGAATTTCCCAGATCCTCTGAGCCTTTCCTCTTGTGTGTCCAGTCCCAAAACTGAGAATTTGTTCCTTATAACCATCACTGAAATCTGAAGTATACTCTACAACACCAGAGCCAGAGAGATGGACTATTTGATTGATGTGACTTTCTTTATCTTAGCTTTTATCCAGAAACAAGAAATGATCCATGAAGATCACACTATAATAATAACAGCATGTAAAGATATTTGTCATGTTTCAACAACAACTCTTAGGCTCTAGAAGCAAATAAAACGAGCACTTACACCAACCATAACAACAGAAGCCTCGTCTGAAGATGTGTCTTGGGTCATATATCTATTTAACAGACTCTTAATTTTAGGATGCCTGCAGGATACTCCTTATATATATTTGTAAGCAAAAGTATCCATTGATGAGTTTACCACTAGAATAACAACTTCAACTCTAATTTATCTAAGGAAAAAAAACAGATGAAACTGACTGATGTCTACATGGTATGATTGACCATCCATACAGTACAAGCAAACAGAATTTAAATAAAAGTTCACAAATGAGAAATTTATGATCCACTATTACCTTCCTTCAATATATCCAACTCAGAACTTACATATGCTAAAGCTACAACTAATTTCTTGATTCTTTTTAACAAAATCCCAACAAAAGTTTACTCCTAATTTCTTGTTTATTGTTTAATTAATGCCATCGTCTTCAAAACAATCTCTTGATTTCTACATCTACAGGACGAACAATAAAATCCCACCAAACCATTCATGCACATTTAAAATCATTAATTTATTCCACACAGAAAATTACCATAGCTTCCCCGTTAATACAAGAGGTTACTATCTCAAGAAAACAGAATGTAAAACACAAAAAGAAATTTACCTATCTAGAGTTGGCGCTGGCTAGAGAATGGGCCTCCAGAGAGCAAAGGCCGTCTCGGCCGTCGATCGGCTGGCACTCCTAATCCTCTTCCAAATCGCTCGGCTGCGTCCGCTTCGAGACTGATTCGAAGTTTCAATTGATCGGAAAATATGGCGACAATTGGGGTTCACACCACATTTTAAGAAATTTTCATTTTTATTCAGTGAAACGCACCGTTCAAAGGCAACCAAACCAAAAGAAGAGGATAAAATATGATATGAAGAGATTGATCGGCAAAAATTACAGAAGGATCAAATTACAGTAACAAAATACACGAGAACTGCATGCAGAGTAGATAGATCAAATCCAAAAGAAATCAACACAAATTCATACATAACCATAATTCCCACACAAGTCAATATAACTATATATCAACAATGAACATGAAAAAGATGGAAACAAGCTCAAGGAGCAACTGTTGCTAGATCTGCCCAGAAGTAGGAAATCAACCGCACCTGCTTGCACCTATATAAAATAAAGCAAAAGTAGAAAAATTAAGCGTCACTATTATATAACATGCCTTGATTTTTATGGTTATAACTTATATAGAACACAAATATTATAAAGAGTTGTAGAAACTTACTCACTTAAGAGCCTTGGTTGGGTTTTTGGATTTTTCTCTGCTTATGATTTTGGTTGCACCTTCCAACTAATTTCTGTTGATATTTCTCCACTTTCTTCACTACCCACCATGGTTTTCCTGTAGTGAAGGCAATGTATCCCAGACTAAGTCCCAACACCAGTCCACACCCATAGCCTGCCAATGCAAACTTCCACTCAAAGACTGCTGTAGAGTCATCTTCTTCATCAAATTGTGGTGAAGGTGGTCTTGGTTCTTCGCATTGCTTTGTCAATGGAAATCCACACAACTCAGAGTTCCCAATGTAGGAATCATTTGAGAAAGTATTGAACTGCTTCCCTTCAGGTATGTGGCCCACAAGTTCATTGTGTGAAAGATTCAAAATTGATAAGAACGTCAACTTTGTTAATTGCTCTGGAATCCTGCCTTCAAGTTTGTTTGATGAGAGATCTAATGACTCGAGTTCTACTAATTTCCCCAGTGATGACGGGATTTGACCATTGAGACTATTGTGAGATAAGTTTAGCAATAAAAGTGAATTGAGTTCTCCTAGCTCCTCAGGAATCGGTCCATGAAATTGATTGCTCGAGAAATCTATAGTTGTGAAAATTATCAAGATCCTTACAAGCTCCCTCTCTGTCCCTTTCATTATTACCTTCACAGAATCCTTATAAATATTACCCCAAGCTAGGCAACCAGAACATCGCCCAATGCCATCAATGTATTCCAAGTTGGCTTTATCAGCTGGAGCTACATCTCTCATACCTTTCAAAATTTTGAAATAGTTACTTGGTAGGAGACCCGTAAAATCATTCTGTGCGACATCAATTATTCTTAACTGAGGGAAGTAAAATGCAGGCATAGAATTGCTGATGGCACCATGAAATCGATTAGATCGAAGGATTAGAACTTTTAGCCGCAGAAGAACACCTAACCAATATGGAAAGGTATCATTCAAGGAGTTGTACCCAACATCTAGAACTTCCAACTCACTGCAATTTCCCAAAGATGATGGCAGTCTCCCTTTCAACTGGTTGCCATTTAGGTTAAGAGTTCTCAATCTACTCCCATTGACAAAAGAATTTGGTATTATACCATGAAACTTATTCATCCGCAAATCCAAGACGGAGAGAACACTCAAGTTTCCAAGACATTCTGGAATTTTTCCTACCAAACAATTATTAGCTAAATCTAGAACTTCAAGAGAAGTCAAATTGCAATAAGAAAAAGGGATTACACAAGTCAAATTATTCCCTGACATGAAGAGTTGTTGCATAGAATCCCAAGTTGTTGAGAGAATGGGAAGTGATCCTTGTAGTATGTTAGATCTGAGGTCAACAGTTCTCAGATTTCCAAAACCAAATAAATATATACCAGTCAAGAAGTTATAAGAAAGGTTTAAATAGTACAATGACAACATCCCTTCTATTTCCCATTTGTGAATTTGACCAGAAATCTTGTTCTTGGAAATATCTAATTCAAACAAATTCTTTGCCTTCCTTAAGAAACTTGGGAACTTGTGAATGTTGCAAGAAGAGAATGTTAAAGACCGGAGGCTCCGAAGAAAGGAATAGTTGACAGCAGTGCCATTATTGCTCAAAGACAGCAAACTATTATTGGAAAGATCAAGATTGTCAAGGTTTACAAGCTTCGAAAGCATGTCGGGTGTAATGATGCCAGTTAAGTTATTTGAAGAAAGGTCGACACTAATAAGATACACAAGATCAAAGAAGAAGCTAGGAATTGAACCACTTATCTCATTATTGGACAAATAGACTACTTGTAAAATGAGATTGGGCATCTCAACATGATCAATAGGTCTGGTAAGGCAATTGTTTGAAAGGTCTAAATAGTATAAAGAAGGCAGAGAAAACAACCAAGATGGTACACGACCTAATAGCTTATTTGATGATAGTGACAAAAGAGCAAGATTAGTGAGGTTGAAGATTGATGCAGGAATTTCACCACCAAAATTGTTTGCATCTAATCTCAAATAAGTTAGGTTGTGTACTTTTCTAAAAACATCTGGTATTTGCCCTTGCAAATGGTTGGAAGAAAAATCTAGTCGAGTTATCTCTGTAAGATTTGCAAGAGATCTAGGAATTGATCCATAAAATTGGCAGTTATCAAGATTCAATTCCTTCAGGAGTTTAAGATTTCCGATTGAATGAGGCAACTCTCCAGAGAAGTTTGTGTCTGCAAGATTCAAATACTCCAGGGTACTACTCTGGTTTGACTTGGGCAAATTACCTCCTAAATGAGAGTTGGAGCTTAAATCAAGAACCTGGAGAGATGGAAGCTGAAAAACTCGGTTTGGAAAGTTTCCTTGCAAATTACAATCGCTAAAGCTCAAATGCTCCAAGGAAGAAGTCAAGTTTAGCAAGGAAGAAGGCACAACCAGAGACATATTCACATAATCAAGGATAAGAAACCTTAATTCTGTTAAGTTATGCACAAGCATTTGAAAGTTTACGTTATCAAGAAGCAAATCATTAAGAGAGAGATCGAGTGAAACCAATTTCGTTAGCTGAAAAACTTGGCTTGGAAAGTTTCCTTGCAAATTACAAAAACTAAGGCTCAAATGCTCCAAGGAAGAAGTCAAGTTTAGCAAGGAAGAAGGCACAACCAGAGACATATTCACAAGATCAAGGATAAGAAACCTTAATTCTGATAAGTTATGCACAAGCATTTGAAACTTTATGTTGTCAAGAAGCAAACCATAATTACCAGAGAGATCGAGTGAAACCAATTTCGGTAACAAGAAGATCTCATCAAACAGGAAAGAGCCATCCATGTATCCTGAATCTACAAGGTTAAAGATTTGTCACATTAGAAGAAGTGAAACCAGTTTTGGAAGCATGGAGATTTTAAACAAAAGAAAAAGAAATGAAATCCCGTACTTGAAAGATTAAGATATGTCAAACTCTTCCAACGGTCGAACCCAAAATAGAGATTGGGGTAGCTAAATTCGTTGTAAGCAAGGTTGAGGCTCTGCAATTTCTCAAGGCGGAAGAGACTACTATTTGTAGTTAGATTGGCTTCAAGACAATTATTGCTAAGATCAAGGCCAATCACGTGGCCTTTCGGCTTGTCGCATGTGATGCCCTTCCACAAGCAGCAGTCTTTACTCTCATTCCAAGTTTGTATTATAGCCATAGGACGAGGAGTATCAAAACAGCCGTCCACCAATTTAGTAGTGCTTTTGAAATCAAGCAATGCAGAACGCTCTTCAGGACGGCACAAATGTGGTGATGAATCGAGAGAAGATCGAGAAGGTGAGGAGCTTTGGACTCGAAACTGTAACAACATGAAGGAAAGGCAGAGAATTTGGGAAAACCGTATTAACCTCCCCATTTTCTTAAAGATGAACACAATTCACCAAACAAAGGAGTGATGGATTATTCAAAATTGAAGGGCTGGATCCCAGTATTTATAGTCTTTACTAAAGTACAAAATAAATACCTAATAAAATTTTAAAAATCTTAAATAAACACCAAAACATAAATGATCTCACATTTCAATTCAAATAGTATACTAATCGTTGGATTTGAGGAGCCATGCGCAGAGCGTAAAAAATCAAATATTTTAAAAGTAAATATCGGCTTTTTGAATCCATTATATTATTGTTTTCGATAAATAGAATTAGTTAATATAATAATAGCAATTGTTTATAGCTCAATCTTTCTTTTGTATTAACATAGGTCATTATCATCAATCATTAATTCAGATAAAAATATTTATTTTTATATTTTAATAATAATCTTTTTTAATACTACAATGTTACTTCAAATTCGCTTCAACTATTTTAATTATATTTTTCATAAT